AGAAAGAGAGGAAGGAAGGAAGGAAGGAAGGAAGGAAGGAAGGAAGGAAGGAAGGAAGGAAGGAAGGAAGGAAGAAAAAGAAATTGCATTCTGTTCCAGCTTGTCCCTACATAGGTCGTAGCTGGTCTTCATGGGCTTCAGCTCCAGTGTGCCCTCTGACACAAAGTCCCTTTCTTCCCATCTCTGGGTCTTAGTTTCTGTCAATAAACTGGGGGCCTGGACTTCTAATGGTCCTTCCAGTCCTGCTGCTATTATTAGATTAACCAGTCCTATGTACAAGATAAGTGGTATTCCTGCCGGTGTTTTCAGACTAAACAGAGGCCACCTGAAGACAAAGTTCTGAGATCTAAGAAACCTCTTCCTGCCCAAGAACTCAATGTGAAAGCTTCAGTCCTACTTTCAAATGTGAAAATTGGCAAACCAGTGGAGAATCCACTGACACACAGGGATACTCTATGGCTCTGGCTCACCCACCATGGCAGTGGCTGTTGGAACTCCCAAGCTTGGGCCACATGTGTCAGCTGTGTAAGTTATTATTCATGTCTTCAGTCATTATGTCCAAATCATGATGCCAGGCTAGCCAGGACTAGCTTTTTCCAAGAATCTCAGGCCTAGGTATTGAGACTAGCACCAGCCCACTCCTCACAAGTGGAGACCAGTTAGAAGGATTTTACAGTCTAGACAGGAGAGACATCAGTAGCTTGGTCTAAGGTAGCAGTGGAGAAACGTGGGATGGATTCGGGGCAGGTTTTGGAGGTGGTATCATGTCAACTTGGTGATGGATTAAATAAGGAATGTGAGAACAAAAGGGAATCAAAGAAAATTTCTTGGTTTATCCCTGAGCCCCAGAACAGACGGGATGCCACCCACCAAGATGTGAAGAGCAGAGACTTGAGGGTGGAGCAGGCAAGAAATCAAGAGTTCAACATGTTAGGTTAGATTTGCATAGAAGACCACTAAATGGAGATTTTGGGTAGACAGATGAAAATATTATTTGGCTTTCAAAAGATATGTTATAGTGAAGATGTAAAATTGCATGATAACAACAGCAAACCTCCATCAAGACAACTTCATTTTATCAAACAACTTCCAATAATAATGAACCTCAAAAGGCAAGAGTTTAGGGGCCCTATTCTTTTCCTCCTGAGATGCTCCTTATATAAAGGTACCTACACAAGAGGTTATTTTCTGACTCATAGTAAGTATAAACATGTTGCCTATTAATCTTATTATTCTTATTATCGTGGTTGGGGGTAGGGTGGCTTTCACATTACCTGGGACAGCTTTACCCAGCCTCCAAGTCTGAGTTTAAATTTTGGAAAGAAGAACTGAATGTTATTGTTGAGGAGGGGCCCTAAAGATTTATGCAGACACTAAGAGTTTCATGTTAAAAAGTTCAGCGCATGTGAATCAGCAGCCCAAACTTGGATGACAAAGATATGTCACATTTACTGATACTGCTTAAATCAAATTAAATCTAACTTTGATTTCTGATTCCATTAGGCTTGTTGGAAAATTCCATCCCAGTTGTTATTAGGGCTCCCTGCATGTATCAGTTATCTATTGCTGTGTAACAAACCACCCCAGCACTTCCAGACTTACAACAACAATCGTTCTCTCACTCGGGAACCTACCATTTGGGCAGAGCTCAGTGGGGACAGCTTATCTGTGTCTAATTTAGTGTCAGGTGGGGTGCATGACGAGGGGCTGGAGGATTTGCTTGCAAGATGGCTCACTACTCTGGCTGCCAGGTTAATGGCAGCTGTCTGCTGGGGGTTCAGTGGGCTGTGGGTTGGAGGTCTTAGTCTCTCTCCAGGTGGGGTTCTCCACGGGCCATTTGGCTTTTTTCATGGCATGGTACTGAGTTTCAAGATCAACCAACTCAAGGGAACCAGGGAGAAGCTATATCAACTTTTATGACAGTCTTTAGAGTCACAAAATGTCATTCTGTTTTAGCCACTATTCCTCCCAGCTTCAGTGGGAGGAATATCAATGTCATATTATAAAAGTACATGGGATGAGAGATATTATTGCAACCATCTTTGGAAAATACAATCTGCCACTCCCCTAACCAAAAAGTTATACGAAAGTTCTAGAGTCTTTAAAAAGCCAAACATCTGGCAAGCTCTCTCCAGACACTGGCCAGATGAGCCATTGCTCTGATGCACATGGACTAAGCCCATGTCGTGTTTTTAGAGACAGGGACTTCTGGGTGCTTGACTCCTGTGGGGTCACAGATAATGGCAACATAGCCTACAGATTCCAAATGAGCACAGACTCAGGAGCCAGATTCCCAGCTCCATCATTTCAGGCTGTGCGACTCAGAGCCTCAGTTTCTTCACCTGTGAAGTTGGAATAATAATAGCATTCCATCACATGGTTTATGAAGATTAAATGGGATAATATTTATAAAATATTTTTTAAATGCTGGGTTCAGAGCCCCAAAACACCAATTCAAAAGAAACTATGCACCCCAATGTTCATAGCAGCACAATTTACAATATCCAAGTGCTAGAAGCAACCTATGAGCCCATCAGAAATGAGTGGATCAAAAAACTATGGTACATTTACACAATAGAATACTATGCAGCAGAAAGAAAGAGCTACTATCCTTCATGACAGCAAGGATGGAACTGGAGAACATTATCCTAAGTGAAATAAGCCAGGGGGTGAAAGACAAATACCATATGATCTCACCTATAAGTGGAACCTAATCAACAAAGCAAACAAGGAAAACTATATAACCAGCAACATTGAAAGAATAAACAAACCGACAGTAACGAGAGGGAGGGAAGGAGAGGGGTAATGGGGAAAAGAAGGGGAAGGGAACATGTATAAAGGACCTATGGACAAAGCCAAAGTGGGGAAGGATTGAGAGTGGGAGGTGGGGGAGGGTGGAGCAGGGGAAAGTAGTGGTGGGAAAATGGAGACAAATGTATTTGAACAATAATAAATAAATAAATAAATAAATAAATAAATAAATAAATAATAAATTTAAAAAATAATAAAATAAAAAATGCTCGGTTCATATGAAGTTGTTTTTTTTCCCATTGTTTTGTTGGGGGTTTTTTTCCAAGCATTTCTTTCTTTCTTTCTTTCTTTTTAAATACATTTGTCTCTGCCTCCCCCCCACCACTTTCCTTTGCCCCCTCCCTCCTTCCCTCTCTCAGCTCTTCCCCTTTGGTTTTGTCCATGAGTCCTTGCTATATTTTATTAAATTGTCCTGCCAAGGATTACTGAGCACTTACGATACACTAGGCAACAAATAAAATAGGGCCAAGAGCCCTATGGCAGGTCCCCTTGGACAGGGCGCATTTGATGATATTACGTCAGTGGCTCTCAAGTGTGGAGGATTTTATTTCATAGGATGGTCATATCAACATATATCTCATCTCACCGGCTCTTCTTACAACGTGACATTGACCCATTTTCATCAATGGGTGGGGTGTGTTCCCTCCCCTTGAACCTGTGCAGACCTTTGTAACTGCCTTAACCAATGGCATACAGTAGAAGTGACAGAGTACAACTTCTGAGGTTAGGTCATAAAAGGTATTGCAGCTTCTGCCTTGGTCTCATGGATCACTTGACCAGGTGCCATGCCATGAGGGTACTTTCCAAAGCTTGCTCTGAGATGTTCGAGATATAGCTGCCTTTCTGCTGGACTGTCAACTTCCTGACAGAAGGGCCAATGTATATTTCATGGCTCTGGAACCTGCAGCACCCAGCCCAATGCCTGACACCCGAATGAGTGAACAGTGAAGTAGATGGAAGTGGATGGAGGGAAAGCACACTTGGGTTGAGGCTGGCTATGCCACCTTCTCTCCCCTGGAGAACACCCCATCCAGTTCAAGACCATCTAAATGCCACCTCCGCAAGCAAGTCTCGCTTGTCACTCTGCAGGGCCGGCCAAGCCCCTCTTTCATATTTTCTTTCAGCTCCATGTACTTTGCTTTGACAGCATGTATCAGAAGGATGATTAGTTATTTGTGCGCTCACTGATTTGGGTGTCACCCTTGTTCATCTGGCATATAATGCTTTTGTTCTCAGGGCTCCAAGCAACAGGCAGTTGTCCTTGACATTTCCTCCACAAGGATTATTATTCCTACTCTACAAAAGGGTAAATGGGAGTACAGAGAGGACAAGAAAAAGGTAGTGTCACCAGTAGATGACCAGATCACCAGGGATTTGAACCCACATTAGCTGATCCCAAAGACGGTGCTGGTGACCACGGAGCCACACAGCCTCACTGTGTATCTCTCCAGGGCAAGTCCGTATTTAACTTGTTCACCGACATATCCAAGCGCCAGACTGGCACAGAGAATATACAGTCAATCCCCATATTTGAGGATTCCACGTTTGCAAATTGGCCTACTCGCTAAAATTTATATTTAACTCCAAGTTAGTATTCTTGGCGCTTCATGGTCATTCACAGTCATGTGCAGAGTGATAAAAAATGGGGTTGCCTAACATGCACATTCTGCTCTTTTTACTTCTGTTCTCATGCTACAAACAAATGTCCTTTTGCGGTCTATTTAATGCCATGTTTTCTGCATTTTTATGTCTTTTTTTGGTAATTTTTCCATTTAAAATGGCTCCAAGCGTAGTGCTGAAGTGCTGTCTAGTGTTCTTGAGCATAGGAAGGCTACGATGTGCCTTATGGAGAAAACATGTGTTAGATAAGCTTCATTCAGGCATGAATTGTATGGCTGTTGTCCATGAGTTTAATGTTAATAAATCAATAATGTATTAAATGAGGTGCCTTTAAACAGAAACACACATAAAACAAGGTTATATGACTGGTTGGCAAAAAAAATTGTGACCAGAGGTTCACAGGGACCTAGCCCTCTTCTTTCCCTAGAAGTGATAGCTCAGGGCTCACTAATTTAGCATTCACGGAGCCTTTATAGAACATAACTACCACAGATAACCAGAATCCACTGTATAGAATAAACAGTGCACGCATGAGCACATGGCTGGCAGGCTGAAGCCGATGCGAGAGCATGGATGAAAAACGTGCCAAGGGCTTTGCCTAATCTTCCTGTCCTCTCCCGGTCCAGGGATCAGAGTCACCGAGGTGGACTGGCAGCTGTCAAGAAATGGTGCCGTGCACCACACCCAGGAGTACCCCGGCCCAGAGCTGGTGGTTCGCAGGGGCCAGATGTTCACCTTCACATTGGAGCTGAGCTGTCCCCTGGACAGCAAGGAGACCCTCATCTTCACGGTGGAGACAGGTAACCGGCTCACCAGCAACCTCCATGGGTTCGCAGTCAGAAACACTTGCCTTGTGACTAGTGACCTGACACCCTGTGGTCATCAGCCCAGCCTTGGGAGGAAGCAAATCCTTATAGCTGGGCTGAGCCCTGAATCCTGGAAGCTTCCGAGGACAGCGTCCTGGGGGTGGCTGGAAGGTGCTGCCAGCAGGCATGGGAGAGATGAGATGACGGCTCCGGAATCCTGAGGATATTAGGGAATCCACGCCTCCGGGAGGTTATGGGAAATGGGCAGGCACTTCTGGAGCCCGAGCTTTTCTCTCCTGGCCAGACCAAAGTCAGGCTTTGGTCTAAAAGGTCCTGACACTTTCTCTTTGATCCAGGAGGTGGGTGGGAATCAGGACAGCTGAGTGCCCCGTTCTGCCACTTCTCCTTCTGTGTCTTGGTCAGGTCCTCCCTGCAACAGTGTCCCAGCAGTTCAGGGGGTGAAGGCTGTGCTGCCAGGTTTGCAGCGTTTCCACTTCTCTGGCACTGAGTTTCCTGGGGGTGGCTGGGTCTCCTGATTCCCTCCCCTCTCCTCCAGGACCCCAGGCTTCTGAGGCTCTGCGCACCAAAGCTGTGTTCCAGGCATCGGAGTTGGAGGTGCAAAATGCCTGGACAGCAGTGAAGGAGGCTCAGGAGGAGAACACAGTGACCATCGGCCTCACCAGCCCTCCCAATGCCGTCATTGGCCGCTACGTGCTGAGCTTCAGGGTTTCCTCTCGCCGCAAACACAGCAACAGGAAGCTGGGCGAGTTTGTTCTCCTTTTCAACCCATGGTGCTCAGGTAGGAACTGCCAGGTGCAAGGCAGAAGCCTTCCTGGAAGCGGTCCGAGAGGAGGGCCTGCCCTTAGAGCAAGCCTGGGAGGCAGGTTAATGGGCAGCAAGATGAATGCCAAGGGTTTGGTGAGAGCCTGGCGTGGGCGGAGGTGGGCACCGGGCAGGGGAAGCTGGTAGCGGGTGCTCCACAGGAGCCGGTGCCAGGGCGCCAGGAACCAGTGGTGTCTGGTGTACAGAGGCCAGTGGGCAGGAGTGGGGCCCAAAGGCAGGAGAGGCCCAGGAGTGCGAAAGAGCGGGCTTCAGCCATTGGACAGCCTCGATTCAGTCCCAGCTCTGCTGTTGCTTCCCTCTGTGAGTCTCAGTTTTCTCATTTGTAATATGGGAATAACAGTGCCTACCTCTTAAGGTTATGGCGAGAATTCACAGGACTAATGGTTATAATGTGCAAAGTACATGGTAAGGGTTTCTGAGGTCAGTATTCTTATTAGTATTCAAGAAATATGAAGCTGCTGTAGGCATCAGTAAAATCACCCAGAGGCATCGGGACTCCTAAAATCTCTCAGTCTTGCTGGGCTGGGGTTGGTACCTGCCTGAGGCAAGACAGGCCAGGCAGAAAGGAGCTTGGCCTCACGGCAGCCCGGGATATCAGCAAGCCCCTCATGGCCTTCCCCGCCCAGTCAGCCTCCCAGCACCATCCTGATGTAGCCCCTTTGCCAGGCCAGCAAGGCCAGAGCCCCAGCCCACACTGGGTCTGACGACTGCTTTTCAGAGGATGACGTGTTTCTGGCCTCAGAGGAGGAGAGACAGGAGTACGTGCTCAACGACAGCGGGATCATCTTCCGCGGCGTGGAGAAGCACATCCGAGCCCAAGGCTGGAACTTCGGGCAGGTCTCCAGGGGCTCAGGCCAGCAAGGGGGGACGTGGGCTGGGGGCGTGCGAAAACTCAGCCCAGGAGAACTTTTGTCTGCTCACTTCTTCTCAGGAGGGACAAGCTGTCTGACTCCTAGAGCAAATTCATTCATTCATTCATTTACTATTAGGTGTTTCAGGGCCAGCGCTGGATCCTTGGGAGGGAAAAAGCTTTAGGTATAATTTGGAAACAGAACGGGCCAGATCTGCTATAGGAAGATAAATGGCTTAGATCAAGGGCTCTCAGTCTCAAGTATGCACCAGCATCATACGGAGGGCTCCTTGAAACACACAGACGGCTGGGCCCCACCACCAGAGTGGCTTATTCAACAGGTTGGGGTGGGGGGCTAGATGCTAAGAATGTGCGTTTCTAGCAAGTTCCCAGGTGATGCCATGACTGCTGATCTGGGGCCACACTTGAGAGCCACTGGCTTAAAATTACAATACAAGGTGCGATGGGCAGAGGAAAATCAGGGCAGTAAAGGTGGGAGGAGAGGAATTTCAGAAGAGCATGAAAGAAAATGCCAGCCACTCAGGGAGTGTGGAAGGCTTCAGGTACTGGGGCTGGGGGTCCAAAGTCGGGAAGGGGTCTGGACAGGCAGAGGAAAGAGCAGACAGAGCAACGTGGAGGTGAGAAGTCAGGGAGTAGCCGAGGTTCTGCTACAGGAGGTTGGTCTGCCTGGGCTCGGGGTGCCCAACCCAGAGAAGGCTGGCCGGGCTAGTTAAGCACCTTGACTGTCGGGTTGAGGAGCGGGAGTGGAAATTATTCAGGGCGCAGGGACTGAGCAAGGATGATGCATTGGAGAGTTTAGGATCCATCTAAGGGGTAACCACTTCTCAGTGTCCACCTCTTAGTCCATGTGGAAAGCAAGGGCTCCCAGATCTTGCAAATTTTCAGAGACTAGAAATTTTAATTTGTACGTAAAATTCTCCCAGGTTTTAAAATGAATCTCCCAGTTTGTCAATTAATTCAAATACAGTTGAGAAAAAATCATATAAACCAAACGAGGATGCCAGTGGGGTCGATGTGTCTCCAGAGCCACAAGTATACTGCGATACCACAGCATTTGCTGTGGGTACTGGGGAGCCATGGGGGCGTTTCTTGAACAGGAGAAGACATGATTTCAGTTGAGCTTCTGGTTCCCACGTGACTTCTTTTTTTAAGATTTATTTATTTATTTTTAGAGAGAGGGGAAGGGAGGGAGAAAGAAAGGGAGCAAAACATCAATGTGTGAGTTGCCTCCTGCACGACCCCAACCGGGGACTTGGCCTGAAACCCAGGAATCGAACTGGCCACCTTTCAGTTCACAGGCCAGTGCTCCGCCCACTGAGCCACCCCAGTCAGGGCTCCCAGATGACTCTTTAAAGAAGGGTTTCTGAGACTTGGGGATGCTCTGTGGTGACCCTGGTGGGTAAGGGGAGGCAAACTCCCCGGCACAACACAAGTGACCGACTGGGTGAACGTCATGGGAGGGTCTGGAATATGGTTGAGGCTCCAGTCTCTAAGCGCAGCCTCTCCGGGGACAGTTTGAAGAGGACATCCTGAACATTTGCCTCTCCATCCTGGACCGAAGCCCCAGTCACCAAAAAGACCCAGCCACCGATGTATCCTGCCGCCATGACCCCATCTATGTCACCAGGATCGTCAGCGCCATGGTAAGGAGCGCCACCTTCCCTGCATACACACTCCCTCGTGGACCCCAGGCCGACCCCAGGGCCACACCCAAGTCACCTCTTGTTTTAATTCTCTATTGCTGCCTAATAAACCACCCCAGATCTCAGTGGTGTAAAACAACAATTTATTATGCTTACAATTTTGCAGGTCAGGGACTTGAGCAGGATGGCTTGTCTCTGCTCCAAGATGCTTCGGCTGGGGGTGTCTAGATGGCTGCAGATGTCTAGGATGGTTTGACGGGACCATGAATCTGGGGCCTTGTTTCCAGCAGTCAGTGTGTCCTTGGTTCTCTTCCGTGCCATGTCTGCTGGGGCTGGAATGTGAAGACGGCTTGTTCACTCTCACGTCTGGCTCAGGGCTGGGGTAGTGGGAAGAGCTGGGGCTGGCCAGTCATTGCTCTGTGTCTCCACGCAGCCTTTCCCAGCAGCTGCGCTGGGCTCCCTCAGAGCATGGAAGTCTCAGGGTAATCAGGCATGGCACCTGGCTTCTCCCAAGAGATTGTTCCAGAAAGAGGAAGAGGAGCTACCAGCTGCATAAGGCCTGAGCCAGAAGACTGGCACAGCATCACTTCCTCCATAGTCATTGGTCAAAGTAGTCACAGGCCAGCCCAGGCTCAGGGAGAGGGCACACAGACTCACCTTCCCCAGGGAGGGCTGCCATCTTTAATCTATTAAACGCCACAGTCCTTCTTCCTCAAAAGGCAGGCAGAGGGCCTTGTATTGCTCTTTAAGAAAGCAGGTATTAAGGTCAGTGGGTGGGTATTGTGATTCCAAAGCTGGACAAAGCTGTTTTTCTCATATTTGATCCTCTCAATTCCTCAAGACCTCAGACATGTGGGAGCACAGAGACTCTGCAGCTGTGACCAGTGCTGACAGCAGAACACTGAGGTCCTGTGGGGCAGGTCCTGAACTCCTTCCACTAACTTGCTGTGTGACCTGGGCAAGTCCCTTAACCTCTCTGAACCTCATTTTTTTTTCTTCTGAAAACAAAAAGAAAATAATATTAATAGAACTTACTTTAAGCAGGCTAATATAATTTGCTCAAAGCCTTTAGAATAGTGCCTGGTACACAGTAAGCATTTAATAAATGTTAACTGTCTCTAAAATTATTACACAACCAACAGTCCCCCAAAACACCCCATTTAAAACAGAAAATGCTCTAAAACTGTAGATGATTTTCAACAAAAAAGAATCCTATTGGAAAATAGTTGCAAGTAATAAATGGTAGCAAAAAGTAGATATTTCAAGAGAGTAGATGACCCGGATTTGCAGACAATTTAAAAGCAAGAGGTGACCACAAATGCCTGGGTGGTCCGAAGTTGGAGGCGACTTTACAATGATGAGGTTGCTGGAAAGGCGAGCCCTGCCCGGTGGTGGACCCATGCCCTCGTCTGCCCAGGTGAACAGCAACAACGACCGGGGCGTGGTTCAAGGCCAGTGGCAGGGCAAGTACGGCGGCGGCACCAGCCCACTGCAATGGCGGGGCAGCGTGGCCATTCTGCACAAGTGGTTCAAGGGCAGGTTCAAGCCAGTCAAATACGGCCAGTGTTGGGTCTTCGCTGGAGTCATGTGCACAGGTACCCAGGGAAAGAAGGTCCCCAATCCTAGGCCTGTTCTTTCATTTGTGTTCATTTACATATATTTGCACAGATCCTCTTCTCCCTCCAGAAAAACCCAGTCTTTCTTTATCGGTGGTGGGAAGAGAGAAGTCTTTTGGCTAACAAAGAAAGAAACCAGACAGTTCATTTATGAGATTGTTGACCATTTATTTTGCAGAAGGTGTCCCACCTCTCTCTGCCTGGAACTCATTAAGAGCCCTTGGGTGAATCCTGTGGTCCCAAGGCCTCTGGTCCCCTCTGGCTGTTACATGGCTTCTAAAGTCCTCCCAGCCTTGAAGCCTGTCTCTTTAAAAAGGGGGTGACAGTAGTTTCTCCAGAAGTCCCTTGAGAGAACGTACAGGAGATGGTGGTGTTTCTGAGAGTGGAGACAGGAGTCTCAGCCCCGACAAAGTCAACAGAGATAGGGAGGAGCATGTGGCCAGAAATGAGGGGGTGGCCTGCGGGGGAGCCAGAGCCCTCCCCAGTCCAGGGTCCTGGCCTGCTGCTGGAACGTCACCGGCCTCCTACCCTTCAGTCCTTAGGTGCTTGGGGATCGCAACCCGGGTTGTGTCCAACTTCAACTCTGCCCATGACACGGACAGGAACCTGAGTGTGGACAAATACGTGGACTCCTTCGGGCGGACCCTGGAGGACCTGACGGAAGACAGCATGTGGTGGGTCCCAGGGGCTCCCTGAAGCAGAGCCAGATCTGGAGCCTAGCTCTCCCGAGTCAGAGTGAGAGGCACCCTCTGGGGGGACGGGCTGGGCCCAGGCAGGGTGACTCTGCTGAGAGGAGGGGTCTTCGGACACATGACTCAGAGGTCAGGAGCAGGGGGCTCAAGATCTGACTGCCTTCACCCCAGGCCCCCCCTTCTGTGGGACAAAGCCCTTCTTGGAGCCCTGTGACAGAGGGGCCAAGGTTTCTCCCAGAGTTACCTCCGTATCACGTTCCTGCTTCTCCCTCAGCTGCCTGGGCACGGGCCGCATGTCTCAGGTGGAAAATAACCTCCTCCTCAGCTCAGACAAAACTCTTCGCACAAAGCTTTAAAACAGTAATGTTAACTTTTTAAAATAGGAAACACATTCATGTGCTTTCATATTCCAAAGGTACAAAGTGGGTCACAGTGTAAGTCTCCCTCCCACCCAGTTCCAGCCTCCGTGTCCCCCTCCCGGAGGCTGCACTGTGATTAGCTTCTCCCATGTCTTTCCAGCGAGGGGCTCGGCAGACACAGGAACGTCCACATACACAGTCCCCTTGCACCCCTGCCTTTTAACACAGGCACCACTGTGTAACCAGGCGTACCTCGTTCTATTGCATTTCACTTTACTCTGCTTCACAGATGTTGCATTGTTGACTAATTGAAAACAAGACCCTCTATTAGCAAAAAGATCACAACTTGCTTGATTGCAATACTTCACTTTATTGCACTGGTCTGGAACCGAATCCACAACATCTTCCAGAAATGCCTGTGCTGTTCATCTTGCTCATACCTTTAACAATTTCGTATCAGTACATTCACGGTTTCCTTATTTTTTTTTTTTTTTTGTAATGTGCAAAACAATAATACCACACTAGTCTGTGTCAGGCCCAGTTCTAAGTGCTAGACATATACTAACTCATGTACTCCTCCAAACAACCTTGTGAGCAAGCTAGTATTATTATCCATTATCTTTGTTCTGCAGATGAGCACAGAGAGGCTAAGTAATTTGTCTAAGGCCACACAGCTAGTGAGTGGATGAGCAGGGGTATGAAACTGGTCTGCCTTTAAATTGTATGGGAAAAAGCATTGTTTATCTAACCATCTGTCATGGATTGAACAAACAGTTGCCTTTTATAAACAAGGCTTCAGTGGGTAACCTTATCTGAAGACCTGTTTAGATGGGTGCTAGTTGTCACACAATCAACTTTCTAAAGCACAGGGGAAACCGTGAAGAGCACACAAGACAGAGCACAGGCAGCCCTGGCCGTCCCGGCCTTAGAAGGCCCTCGCCATCCCCAGGGAATAAGCCCGGAGCCTTCAGCCCAGCCTGACTCCAGCCTCACGGCACCTCTCTGCCTCCCTTCTCCCCTTTCCTTCTCTTTTTGCTTCTCTTCATTCACCCTCCCTGCAGGAGCACCACAAAAATTACACTCTTCTTCCCTCAGGCAGAAGGACAGACACTTCTTTTGGACGTTGGGGCCTCTGTCACCATGCAGATTATTCTCATTCTTCTCCCTTTTACCTGCCAAATGCTACTCAAGAAATTTTCCCAAAAACAACTGCCTACCTGGCAAGGGTTCGGAAACCAGCTGTAACGTTGCCAAGCTGGGCCAACCAGGGTTTCTCTCCGCTGCTTCCTCACTGTGTGGCCCTGTGTCACCTTTTCTAGTCTCTAAGTCTCATCTCTAACATAGGAGACTTGAAGGCTGAACTCCTTACCAAGACCTACAGAACTCTGCATAATCTGAACCCTACGTGTATCCCACGCTTGCTGTAGCTCGGGGATACTTACATGCTTCCTGTTCCTCGAACACATTAAGCTTTTTCTTGTCTTGAGAGCACTTGCACATGCTATTCCTCCTGCCTGGAACACTGTTCCCTCCATTCTTCTTATAGCTAATTCTCCTTTAAGTCTCAGTTTAGATGTCGTTTACCTCCAGCAGGCCTCCAGCAGTTATTCCCTAACTCAGGCCCCTCTTTTCCCAGTATGTATTGTTACTGTATTTTGCTGCGTATGATACACACTTTTTTGCCCAAATATTTGAGGGAAAAATAAGGATGTGCAGTATACATGAATAGTACTAATTCCATTTCTATATAAATGTTTTTAATTCTTTTATTTATGCGTACATGTTAAAAGTGTAACTCTAGAAGCAATAATAATATCTGCATGCAAAATAGTACCCTGGAATATGATAACTGGTTTTGCTTCTAAGTAGATATAAATAAATAATTGAGTGAAAAATTAACTCAATTAAATGAAAGATTTTTTCCCCCCGAAAGTTTGGGCCAAAAACGTGGGTGCACATCATACACAGGAGTGCATTGTACACAGCAAAATACAGTATTTGCATTCGTTTTTATCTGCTTACTTAATTTTGCCTCTCTTCCAACCTGTCTCCTTTGTTAGAAGGTAAACTGCACGAGGGTAAAGGATCTTCCATCTTATTTGCAGCTGCATTTCTGGTAACTGGGACAACAGGTTCTCAACGCACACACACACACACTGTGTATTGATGACAGTATCAGCACAGTTGAACGAATGGTTCACAAGATTCAGACACAGCCCCCTTGCAGACTACCAGCCCGGGGACTGGCTTGCACTGGGCGCTTGCCCTGCCATGGCTGTCTATGCTCACTCTAGGCCACCCTGCCCATCCTCTCTCTGTGGCAGGAATTTCCATGTCTGGAATGAGAGCTGGTTTGCCCGGCAGGACCTGGGCCCCTCTTACAATGGCTGGCAGGTTCTGGATGCCACCCCCCAGGAGGAGAGCGAAGGTACGGACTCAGCCGGGTGGGTCCCAGACCCCCACTTTTCCTCACCTGTGCTGCTCACGCCCACCCCTCCTGCCCAGGGGTGTTCCGGTGCGGCCCGGCCTCAGTCACTGCCATCCGTGAGGGTGACGTGCACCTGGCCCATGATGGCCCCTTTGTGTTTGCGGAGGTCAATGCTGACTATGTCACCTGGCTCTGGAATGAGGACGAGAGCAGGGAACGTGTGTATTCTGACACGAAGAAGATCGGGAGGTGTATCAGCACCAAGGCGGTGGGGAGCGACTCCCGCGTGGACATCACGAATCTCTACAAGTATCCAGAAGGTAAGGGCAGCGTACTGGCCTCCACCAACCTCCTCAATGACCCGTCTGCTGCCGAGGGACAACTGTGAGCAGCCCAGGCTAGGCCCTTTCCCATATGTTCTGCTGGTGATAGCTTTGTTCAGTACTGTCTCTGTACTTTGAACCAAGTGCCTTTCACCACCTCTTGATGGTTGAAGTTGCAAAGAGTAAGATGGCCATTTTTATTCTACCACAGCAGCCCAGACTTGTACCCCTGACTAACTGAATCACGGGTTCTAGAGGATGTGATCCAGGCATCAGGACTTTTCAAAGCTCTCAGGCAATTCCAATATAGAGTGTTAGGCCGAGGAGGAGGAGGAGTAAAGAAAGCTCCCAGTCAACTCTATGCTTGTAGAGGACAGATGGTGGCTCCATCACACCCTGTGCCATCAGGATGCACTCCCGTGCTGATTTCTTAAGACATTTGCCACACCGCCTTTCAGCGGATCCCTTCCTACCCCACTGGCAGTCACACAGCTTCCCTCTGATTTGTTGTAATTTTGCCCCAGGCTCTGCAGGGGTTTTACAAAGCTGTGGCTCCCACATTCACCTATACTCTGTGCTCCACTCAAGGGCTGGGTGGGGAACCCTGGCTGATTAGCTCAGTTGGTTAGAGAGCATCGTCCCAATATGCCAAGGTTGCGGGTTCCATCACCAGCCAGGGCTCATACAAGAAGCAACCAATGAAGGCATAAATAAGTAGAACAATGAATCAATATTTATCTCTCTTCCTTCCTCTCTCCCTCTCTAAAATTTAAAAAAAAATTTAAACCTTGGGTCGGTAGAGAGGTCTTGAGGGGCTGTCCTCCACCTGCCATCTCCTGTCAGTCCTCCTCTCCCTGTGCAGGTGATACGCAGCTCAGAAAGCAAGACAGGACAGATAGGCCTCCCGCAGCAATGACAAGCCAACTTCCCCTTCCAATACCTAAGAGCTAAAAGCATAAACCTTTAAAAGAAAATGTAAGAGTTCATCTTTGTAACCTTGGGTTAAACAAAGACGTTTTAGATATGATAGCAAGAGCACAAGGAACAAAAGAAAAAAATTGGACTTCATCAAAATTTAAAAACTTGTGCTACAAATTATGCTATCAAGAAAGCGGAAAGCCCACAGAATAAGAGACATACTTGCAAGTTTGCTGCAAAGAAAAAAATTGTCTCAAGTAAGGGACTTATATCCAGAATACATAAAGAATTCTTACAACTCAATAATAGAAAATAAATAACCCAATTTTTTAAATGGGCAAAGGATTTGAATAGATAACTCTCCAAGGATGATATACAACTGGCCAATAAACACATGAAAAGATGCTCAACATCATTAGTCCCTGGGGAAATGCAAATCAAAACCACAGCTGGCATAGCACTTCACACCCACGAGGGCTGCTTTAATCAAAAATGCATATAGTAAGCGCTAAGGATGTGGAGAAATTGGAACACTCATACATTGCTGGCAGGAATGCGCCACAGCGCAACTGCTTTGGAAAACAGTTTGAAAGTTCCCCAAAAAAGAAAAGAAAACAAACATTCACACAAAAACTTGTACAGGAACATTCATAGCAACATTATTCACAAAGCTAAGGAGTGGAAACAATGGCTAATCCAAATGGCTATCGATGGATAAATAAAAAGTGGCATATTCGTATAATGGAAGATTATTCAGCAATTAAAAAAAAAAAGAGTGAAGTACTGATAACATGCTACAAACTGGATGACCCTTGAAAACATTAAGTTAAAAAACTAACCACAAAAGACCATACCTTGTATAGCTCCTTTTATATGAAAGTGCAGAACAGACCAATTAAAACTTAGCTTAGCAGTTGCCCACGATTAGGGTCCCATGAGGAGAAATGGGAAGTGACTGCTAATGGTTATAGAGTTCTTTGGGGGCGATGAAATGTTCTAAAATTAGGTTGTGGTGATGGGTGCACAACTCTGTAAATATACTAAAAACATGGAATTGTATTCCATAAGTGGGTGAGTTGTATGTTATGGAACTGTATCTGAATAAAGCTGTTTTTAAAAATCAGATGGTCAGAAAAGGCCTCCCTGAGAAAGTGACAGTAGATTCCTTGGCAAGGAAATGAAACATTTTCATAGTAAAACATATTATGAACACATCGTGAAGGAGAATGCAAAATGCACGTCCATTTTAATAATAAACGTGAGATGTTAACCTTTAGGGCCACATGGTTGCTTCAGGCCAATGTCGCACGGTACCGAGGACCCTGGGGGGTAAGTATTAGGGAAGGAGCCACGTGGGAGGCTGCATACCACAGTTGTCCAGGGGAGCAGTGGAACCACTAGATTTGGATGTTGGAATAACCAGGATGGAATAAGGACTGGAGTGAGGGGGCATCTACATTCCCAGGAAGGGAGGGGACATTCCTGACCATTGCACTCGGCGACTTGCCTACGGGTCGCTTTGTCCCCACTTCACAAATGGAAAAACTGAGACTCAAAGGTGCTACATAATAAGAATATAATAAAAGTCCCACTATCTGGTGGCACACTGACCTGATGGTCCGGTGGGAGATGAGAGATGGGAGGAGAGGCCAGATTCTGGAGATCGATGAGGATGCTCAGCAGGCCTTGCTGGCTGAGCAGCTGTGCGTGGGAAGGGTGAGGGAAGAGTCAAGGGCACCCCCAGTTTTTGGCTTGTACACCAGGTGAATGGAGGAACCATTTACTGAGTAAATAAGGGGTCCGTGTGGAGCCATTTGTTCAGATAAGGAACGCTGTCGGGCCTGGGCCAGAGACGGCATGTTCTATCGGATTGGAGGCATCTGTGCGGCTTCCTGTGGAGCAGGCATTGGGGGGAGGCTGTCCAGTTAAGTGTATTGGTCTGGGGGTCCAAAACAGGCCTGTGCTAGCAATGTGGGAGATCAGGGGTCCTAAACTCACAGGTCTTCAGGAGCCTTGCAGATGGCACCCCGTGAGCGCAGCAGGCTAGCGGGTAGAGACCATAGAGAATGAGAGTACCTTGGCCACCGGAGACAGCACGTTTCTCAGCTCCAGACCGACACTGCCATGCGGAGTGGGAAGGGAGCCTGGTCAAGAACATGGAGCTGGAGCCAGACGGCTTCGCTCCAAATCCTGCCTCCCTTGCAAGTTGCTCTACTTCTCTGTGCCTTGGGCTCCTTACCTGTAAAATAGGGATGACAACAGTACCTGCCTCCTCCGGGGAGAGGATAGCACCTAGAGCTGTAGTGCGCAGCACACAGTCAGTCTACAGAAGTGTCAGCTATCATTATCACATGAGACTTCAGGCCCGGTTGTTAGAGACGCTGTAAATCTGTATTGTGTGAAATTTCCTGATCCGAAGTCGCTGGCAACTGATTAAAAATTTATTTAAATAGTCCCAGAACCAAACACAAGGCATAGGGCGGAGGGCTGCCCACGGCTCTTGGGCTGTCGATCTGAGACCTCCAGCCGCAGTGAAATGAAGGGGCGAGGAGGGGCGGGCGGTCGTGCCCGGAGAAGAGGGCAAATGAGAGAAGGGGCATGGGTCTCAGAGGTGTGCGACGCCCTGCAGGGTCCCGGAAAGAGAGGCAAGTGTACAGGAAGGCCCTGCGGAAGCTGTTCGGTGTGGAAGCATCTGGAAGGAGGGCCCGGGTTCGCAGGGGCGGCGGCCGTGGTCTCTGGCGTGACGACCTCCTAGAACCCACCACCAAGCCCAGCATCACCGGCAAGTTCAAGGTGCTGGAGCCGCCCTTGCTGGGCCACGACCTAAAGCTGGCCCTGTGCTTGACCAATCTCATCTCCCGGGCCCAGCGGGTCCGAGTCAACCTGAGCAGTGCCACCATCCTCTACACCCGCAGGCCGGTGGCAGAGATCCTGCGTGAATCCCACACTGTGCGGCTGGGGCCGGAGGAAGGTAAGAACGTCTCCGCAGCGGGGGACCTGGCAGCCCCACCCCTTTTCCTAGAGTGTTGGGGGCGGGGCTTGACGTCCTATAATCGTATATTAATTCCCACGAAGAAGAGGGTATTCCTAGCATTTGCTCAGTGCCTTGCCTCTCGTCCGCACTTTCCAGATGAGAAAACTGAGCCTCAGGGGGGCTAAATAATGAGAATAGTAATCAAAGTCCGCAATCATCTGATGGCAAAACTGACCTAATGGTGAGATGACTTATAGTCTCTATCGAATTAGTATGAGTAGGAACAAGCCGAAAAACACCTGCTGGGAGCATTTCATAATATATGGAATATGCCTTGTGTTACCTTTTTACAAAATCCAGGTGTTCTGGATTGAGAGGGGTAAATCAGAAAGAGATGTTCCAGGCCCCGCCCTGAGAATTCTGCGTGACTTGAGGTACTACTACCACTAGCTCAGTTTCTGGGAGGAGGGAGGAAACTTACACCTAGAAAGTGTGAGTTTCACACTCACAAGTTCCAAGTCACACAATCATATGTGCCGTGGCAGGACTCCTACCAGCCTGGCCTTAGAGACGCGCTCTCGTCCAAGCGTCCGACCGCAGGCCCTGGAGAGGAGGGTCAGGGCAGCGCCCGCCAGCTGCGCTTAACGCGTCTAACGGTACCTTTGCCTAAAAGGCACCGTTGGTATTGTGAACCAAAATAAAATGCCTTCAGTCCTTTTGAAGGTCTTTGCACAATTTTAAGTAACCTAATTCCAAATGCTTTTAAATATATATATTCCAAGGATTTTTTCCTAATCTTTAAACACATAGCACTTCATATGTGATTTACTAAATGTATCCCATTTCATATTCTTTCTCCTTTTCCCGTTTTCTCCCTCTCTCTCTCTCTCCCCCTCCCTCCTTCTCTCTCTCTCTCCCACTCCCTCCTTCTCTCTCTCTCTCTCTCTCTCTCTCTCTCTCTCTGTTAATATGACTCTATCTCCGTTCCCCTCTGACTCCTCTCTCTCTTTATCTATCTCTTCACATCCCTTCTGAACTCTAAGGATTCAATTACACAAAGAAATTGTTCCTCTGGTCCAATTTCTGAAGAGTGAAACTTGTGTATTTCAACAAGGCGTAAAAACATGTGAAAGAGGTGCCATTTAATTTTCACAAAATCTAAATCACACTTTATAATGAGTATTAATTAACATATACTTTCTCCTGGCTTTTAGCAATTTTTTTGTATTGTAAGTAATACATATTCATTAACAACTCATAGTACACAAGAGAAAGATCACCTATGATGCCTGCAAACCACCTACAAATTAACGTGTTTTCATTCTGAATTTTTAATGCCTGTTTGTTTTTTTGAAAAAACATGGTTCTAATTATATTGCAAATACTCATTGGTACCCTACTTTTTCCACTTTACATTGTAATTTAAATTTTTTATTTCATTAACATCATTTTAATAGATGTATGATCTGTAAGTAAATATATAGTGATTTATTTTACCTTTTCCCCTTCTTTAGGTAGTTATCAGCTTGTTGCTATTTAAAAATATAAACACTAAAGTAAACATCTTGGGGCAAAAAAATCTCCTTTTTCTCATCTGAATTTTGGATTGTTTTATTAGTAAGAATAGATTCACACACATGAAATTACTGAGCCAAATGGTGTGGCTCTTAAAGTACATAATGTATTAAAATTTATCATTTTTTAATTAGTAAACATTTTTAGCATCTTTTCTCTTATACCCCTTCAGCACCTCTCATCTTTCCATATTGTTAACATCTTGCATTAGTGTGGTGCATCTGTTACAACTGATAAACTAATATTGACATGTTATTTAGAACTAAAGTCCATAGTTTACATTAGGGTTCACTATATTGTACATCCTATGATTTTGGCAAATTTGTAGTGACATGCATCTACCACTGGAATATCATTCAGAATAGTTTCACTGCCCTAAAATTCTAGGGTGTTTTTTTCCTTTTACCAATTTATTCCTCCCTCCCTCTCTTCAAGCCCTTGGCAACCACTGATCTTTTTATTGCCTCCATAGTTTTGCCTTTTTGAGAAAGTCCTATAGTTGGTATCAAACAGCCTTTTCAAATTGGTTTCTTTCACTTAGAAATATGTATTAAAATTACTCCATGGTGTATTTGTTTTTGTTTTTGTTTTTGTTTTTTGTGGTTTGGTAGCTCATTTCTTTTTAGTGCTGAATAGTATTCCATTGTATGGGTGTACCACAGTTTATTTAGCCATTCACCTACTGAAAGGCATCTGGCTTGCTTCCAAGTTTTAGCAATTATGAAGAAAGCTGCTATAAACATCTGTGTGCTGGTTTTAGGCAGATAGTTTTCAACTCCTTTGGGTAAATACCAAGGAGCATGATTGCTGGATGATATAAAAATATGTATAGTTTTCTAAGAAACTGCCAAACTGACTTTCAAAATGTACTATTTCGTATTTCCACCAGCAATAAATGAGAGTTCCTGTTTCTTCAATTTTTAGTGTTGTCAGTATTTTGGATTTTTGCCATTCTAATAGGTGTGTACTAGTATCTCATTCTTTTCATTTGCAATTTCTTAATGGTGTAAGATGTTGAGCAATTTTTCATATGCATATGTATAGCTTCTTTGGTGAGGTGTCTGTGCCTATCTTTTGCTCATTTTTTAATTGTGTCGTTCATTTTCTTATTGTTGACTTTAAAGGTTCTTTGCATATTTTGGGTAGCAGTCCTTTGTCAGATTTGTCCTTGGCAAATACTTTCTCCTAATCTGTGGCCATTTTCTTGACAGTGTGTTTCACAAGGCAGAAGTGTTTAATTTTAAAGAAGTACAACTTGTCAATTTTTTCTTTCATGGATTGTGCCTGTGCTGTTGTATCTAAAAAGTCACCACTATACTCAATATCTCTAGGTTTTCTCATAGGAGTTGTATAGTTTTGTGTTTTAAATTTAGGGTTATGATCCATTTAAATTCATTTTTGTAAAAGGTATAAATCTATGTATACCTTTATTTATGCTTGTTTATTTATTTGTATTTGGATGTCCAGTTATTCCAGCATTATTTGTTTTTAAAAACCACCATTTCTTCATTTATTTCCTTTGCTCCTTTGTCAAAGATCCATTGACTATATTTGTGTTCTGGGCTCTCTGTTTTGTTCCATGGATGTATCCGTCTACTCTTTCACCAAGACCACACTGTTATGATTTCTGGAGGTTTTAGTTAAGTCCTGAAGTCAGGTAGTGTCATTCCTTTGATCCTCCCCTTCAATATTGTGTTTGCTGTTCTGGGTCTTTTGCCTCTACATACAAACTTTAGGATCAGTTTTTCAATATCCATGAAATAACTTATTAGAACTTTGATAGGGTTGCCTTAAATAGAGATTAAGGCGGGAAGAACTGATATCTGGATAATATTGAGTCTTCCTACCCATGAACATGGGATAACTCTCCATTTATTTAGTTCTTTGATTTCATTCATCAGAGTTTTGTTGTTTTCCTCATATAGACCTTGTACATATTTTGTTAGATTAATGCCTAAGTGTTTCATTTTGGCGGTGCTAATGTAAGTGATATTGTGTTTTTAGTTTCAAATCTCACCTCATTGCTGGTATATAGAAAAGTGATTGACTTTTGTATATTAATTACAAATATCTGTGACCTTGCTGTAATCACTTATTAGTTCTAGGATTTGTTCTTGTCATTGTTCTTTCAGACCTTGTACATAGATGATCATGTCATCTGTGAAAAAAAGTTTTATTTCTTCTTTCCCAATATGTATATTTTTTATTTTATTTTCTTGTCTTATTGCCATAGTTAAAATATTCAGCACCATGTTAAAAAAAAAAAAAAAGGAGTGATGAGAAGAGACATTCTTGCCTTGTTCCCAGCCTTAGTGGGAAACTTTGAGTTTCTCATCATTAGGTATGTTGTTAGGTTTTTTGTAAATGTTCTTAATCAAAGTTCTCAGGGAAGAATGAGGATGAGCCAAGTTCAAGCCCTTTAAGGATCCTTTCCACAGGTTTAAAACTCAGATGCTTTCAGGGGCAGGAAGGCAACAGAAATAAAGAAAGTAGGGGCAAGAGAGTGGTAGAGGATGGTAGGGCCTTGAACAAACTAAATAGTGTGTGTGTGTATATACATATATATATACAGATGTGTGTGTGTGTGTGTGTGTGTGTGTGTGTGTGTGTGAAAAAATAACCCAAGTATGACTGACAGTCAGATATGACCTGTGGTGATCCTTAAAGGAAGAGAAGGCATACGCAGGGTGTTTGTGGCTGGTAAGAGAGACAGGGAGGACCAGGACCATAGGAGCTCAGAAGGCAGAGGGCACAAGATCACTGGGTGGGGGTATCAGTAAAGGTTTTTCATAATTGGTGGCGCTGATTAGGACTGGGCCTTAATGGGGAGGGAGGATCTGGAGAACTGTGAAGAAATTGGCCTCCTCCTTGGATTGGAAGCTTGAAACAGGTCTTTGGCTTCCCTCTTCTGTGAACCTAGCACATAGTATGTGCTCAATAAACAGTGAGTGAATTCCTGACGAGATGGATGATTGATGAACTGAGGGATTGTCTTCTGGAATGACTAGGGAAAGTTTAAACACATCTCCAGGAGCTCTTGGAGGGATAACATGTTGTCATGGCAGCTGACTGGCCTGAATTTGAATCCTATCTCATTTTAGCTCCTTAATTTACTTGCCAGGTGACATTGGATGAGAAATTGCCCTCTCTGAGCCTTAGGTTTCTTCATCTGTGAACTGATAATGAGAATGCCTATCTCAGTTGGTTACAAGGACCAGAAAGAGTGTAACTATGAATTGAACCTTCCCTTCTTCTTTCTGGGTTCTGTTGAAAAAGAACATTGGATCCCCAACTCCCACCTCTGCTTTCCCTTCCAGAGAAAAAGATCCCAATCACAATATCTTACTCTCAATATAAGGAAGACCTGACAGAAGACAAGAAGATCCTCTTGGCTGCCATGTGCCTCATCACCAAAGGAGAGAAGCTCCTGGTAGAAAAGGACATTACTCTGGAGGACTTCATCACCATCAAGGTGACTCCTGTCTGCATCCACCACCCTGGGCCTAGCAGACCTGAGGGAGGGAATCAGAGTCTGGGGGTTGGTGATTTTAGCTCCAGCTTCAACTCTCAAGGGTGGGAGAAGTGGCATGGATGCAGGGACACAGTGGAAGAAGGTGGATATAATGATGGAGCTCGGTAACTGGGTATGTGAGAGCAAGGGGTAGACATGATTTTACCCTATCCTCTGACACAGCCAGGACAGTGGGTTTTCCTGGAGGAATAGAGATGAGGGGGGATGATTTATGGGTATTGCCTTTCCAGGTGCTGGGCCCAGCCATGGTGGGGGTAGCAGTTGTAGTGGAAGTGATGGTAGTCAACCCCCTCTTGGAGAGAGTGGAGGACTGTAAGCTGATGGTGGAGGGCAGTGGCCTTCTTCAGGGACAGCTGAGCATCAAGTAAGTGTCATCCTGGGGTGGTGGAAGTGGGGGTGGGGCTGCCTTCATTATAAAACGGGCCATAGAGAAGCTGCTGGTGGGCCAGTGCAGGAGAGATCCTGGATCCCCAGGAACTAGCCCACTGCCTAGACACATCAGCCTTCATTTGTTTATTCATCTCTTCATTCATTTAATCATTAACTCAAGTATGTAACTCATCCACTCACTATTCACTTATTCATTCAGATTTTCATTCATTTATACATTTACTTATTTATTAACTCACTTTTATTCATTTGCTCTCTTTTACTCATTCATTCACTCACTCTTTGTTCCATGTTTTTACTCATCCATTGATTATTCATTTATCTACTTGACTGGTCCATTCATCCACTCATTCTTTCTTTAATTTGCCCACTCATTTACACATTCACTCACTCATTCACTTATGCATTCATGTCTAATTCACACATGTTCCATTTATCTACACACTCATTTATTTTACATGTTCATTCTCAATGATTCATGCACTCATTCATTCACTCACTCATTCCTGTGGTCTTGACTGTATTGGCCTGTGCTCTGAGCAACATGTCAACTGTTGCGAACACCAAGATGAAAACATGAGGCTCTTTCTGGAGAAGGGCTCTCAGAGACAAATGACCCTTTAAATGAAGACAGTGTGATTTATGCAGACACATGGCTCCCCAAGGTCTGGGGGATCAGAGGCAGCCCTTGCGTGGGGACGAGGTGGGACCATGGTGAAACCACAGTAGAACTGATATTTACTCTAGGCCTTAAATGATTAATTCAGGAGCTTTTTGAGTATCAAGAAGGATGGAGGGCTTCCCAGTCAGAAGTCTCCATGGCAATGTAGTCAGGGAAGTTCTCCTGAAGAAGAGAAACTTGATCTTGGCCTTGGGTTTGATTGAAATGGGAAGGCATCCTAGGTGGAAAGAACAGTGATGAAAAAATCCCTAACAGAAAAAGTGTAGGATATGTTAGGGCACAGGGAGGAGAATAGCCTGGCTGGCTGGGAAGAGTGAGAAGTGGTGGAAGGGAGGATTAAGTTTGAAGTGTATTAGTGGAGCATATTAAGTTGGAGGCTCTAATGTCAAGACACAAGGTATGACCTTGATCTTGACAGTTCTAGAGAGACATGGACTGGCAGACCAGGCTCAGGAATGAAAGAGGGCTGGTGGTCTGCCTTTCTCCTTCCTCCTCTCCCCTTTTCCCAGTGTGCCCAGCCTAGAGCCCCAGGAGAGGGCCTTGGTCCAGTTCAACGTCACCCCCTCAAAGAGTGGCCTGAGGCAGCTGCAGGTGGATCTCATCAGCTCCCACTTCTCGGACATCAAGGGCTTTGTAATTATCCACGTGGCCAAAGCCAAGTGACGGGCCACAGGAGAATGAGAGGAGAGGAGATAGCTCTCGTTCCTCTCCTGTCCACCTCTTTGCCCCTGCCATGTGGGAGACAGGGGGCCTGGGTTCCAGTCCTGCTTCAGCTTCTGCCAACTCTGTGAAGTTGGGCAAGTCTCTTCCCTGTTTTGGCCTTGGTTTTCCTATCTGTAAAATGAGATGTTGGACTCCATCAATCCTTAAACTTCTCAACAATGATGGATTATGTAAGGAGCCTTTACCACTTTCATCCCATCACCCTTGTTGCTGACGGATGGAGCATCAGAGTAACCTCAATGCACCCAGCACTGCCACCGCCTGCCAGCCAGATCACCATCACCCTGGCTGAGCTCTGGGTTCATGTTGCTTCTCTCTTAGCTCTTCAATGCTCTGACCACATCCAGACCCAAGAGTCTCCTGGCTCTTACGGAGAACCCCAAAGTTTTCAAGCTGAAACCTAAATGTTCCTCGACACTTCCATTTTGCATAAATGGGCTTGTGCTTGCCATTTACACAGACTAAGTTTTACCCAAAAGTCATGTTCCTAAAGAGCATTAGATTTGAAGGGATGGGAGACTTTCCCTTAATGAAGACCCAGGCCCAACATCTGAGGGGCTACTTCTGCCTGGAAGATGCTGAAGACAGAGGAAGAACCATCAAGACTGGATTATATTTGAGTATGCAGTCCCAAATCTGATCTAGTTATGGTCATAAATGAATTCATACAACAAGTGCAGTGTTGATTTCCTTCTTTGGAACCAAAATAGTGTTGACTTTGCAGAACATCCCCAGCAGCTTACACTATACACAATCACACTCTCAACTCAAACAGGACAGAGACCCCCTGGGATGAGGACTAGAGCAGAGACCCTCCCAGCTCTGAAGACAACCACATCAGACATGTAAATCATCTCCAAAGTATTCTAGACAGCCAATGATAACTAATCATGTAACTGAGGAATAGAGATAAGGAATAAAATGGAGTCACAATGGTGAAGCTACTCAATTTTTTTAAATTAAATAGACTAAAGGATGAGGAAACAATTCTATTCTTGTTTTCATTGATTCTGGGAACTTAAACTTTTGAACTTTCCAGTCCTGCATCAATACCTGGATGCACATCAGATTATTGCACATCAATGCCTGGACATACTTCACACCCTCAAATGACCATCTGAATGACCTCCAGAAATTGTCTCATTGTCAGATCACCAGACATATGAAGATTACCAGCACAGACCAACTCAGAGTCTAAGAACATAGGACTGATTCTACTTAAAAATGTACTTTTTACTCTAAGAACCCTAAGCCTTTTTCCTCCTTCAGAACACTCGGAATGTTCTGAGTTGTGTTTCCAGTTTGCAAATCCTAAGGTCCTTGAATAAATCTTTATTATTTTATTTCTAGTCAAAGCCTCCTGACTCTTTTTGAGCATGTTTGACATAATTTAAGTAATCTGAACAACAGCAACAAAGCAGGGTCATCTGCAGTGAGACACCCCCTGGATGCAACCTCAAGTGGGAACAATTTATGTAGCGGGTCCCTACAAGAAAGGGGTCAGGCAAACACGCGGATAGGGTTTGATGGATGAGCCTTGTGACCAAGACCTCAGTGACAGCATTTCTCTGAGGATTCTACACAACACGGGGAAAGCTTAGAGAACCCAGAGGAGTGGATGCACTTGATACATCAGACCCTCGAGCTGCCTCAGCTCCAGGACCTGCTTTCCAAGCCTCGAATTTGGATGCTGATCCTCTAAAAGAAGGGCAGCGGGAGGTTCAGAGTGGGCAGGGTTGAGCAGCAGGAAGGGGCACTGGGGACTGAAGACAACAGGAGGTGATCTCCCACTCGTAGTACAAAAGACAATGCTCTTAGCAGGGAGACTGAGATGGTCTCCCTTGTGGTGGCCCCAGACACCTCATTCTTCCATAAAATGCCAATTGCCCGTCTTCTTCAAGCTCAGCTGTTGCAGCTTGAGCTCCCCAGGAGGCTGGCTCAGAGATGGAGTTTAGGGTGCAGGATGTTGATTGAGACACTGTAGCCTGAGCATCAACTCCAATCTCACACTAAGTTCTCACCCCAGGCTAAGCTCTCCTGCCAACCTCAAACCAAGTCCTGACTGCAGACTGAGCCTTCATCCTGGTTTTAGGCTAAGTCCTGAACCAAGACTGAGCTCTAACCTGACCTCTGATTGAGCCCAGAACCCAGGCAGTGCCCTGATCCCAAACAGAACCTGATCCTGGTCTGAGCTCTGACCCCACACTGAGCCCTGGTCCAGCCTTATTCTGAGTCCTGACCTCAGCCTGACCCCAGCCAGATCTGGTTCTAGGCCTTGGCTTGCATTTCTCATCCACATCTAAGCTTCTCAAATGGGGAGCCACACACCCCTCTGGTGTACTTGATGTCGCCAGATAAACATAACCTCTCATACTGGACCAGCGTTTGGAACTCACCTTCCTTTCCCTTTGAGGTCCTTATACAGAAATATTTGAGAAGTGTGGGCAACCCCTGTATTCTTCAGCTCTGTCATGCTCTGGGAGTCCGCATTCACAGCCCAGTTCTTCACAAAAAAATGTAAAAGCTGGATCTGACCAGGGCCCTCTCCACCACTCATGTGCATTCATATTTTCCAAGAGCAAAAGGAACTCAGCTACACACCCACCACCAGAACAAAGAGGCAATATGCCACTCATAGTAAAGGACACTCTTTTCAGCAGGGAGACTCCGCATGCCATCAGAGATGGTCTCCCCTTGCAGTGGCCCCAGAATCCTCTTCCTTTCAGCAAACACCAACTTCCCGTCTTCCTCAAGCTCAGTTCTTGCAGGTTGAATTTCCCAGGAATCTGACCCCGAGATGAAGTTCAGGATGGAGGACATTTATTGGGGAATGGCCTGGGGATCCATACCAGAGGAGGTAGGGGAGCAGGGAGAGGGAGGAATTGAACCATAATGCAGACAGTGGCAGCCTTGGCCCACCTCATGGGCAGCTCTGGAGCTAGAATGACCCATCGGAGTCATCCCAGATTGAGCTGATATGGCTGGACCTTTCTATGCTTGCATCTGTCCCTGATTTGCCCAGAAGGGGCATGACTTTAGGCAAGATGGCTCTCTGCAGTGAGGCCACCCCTGAGGCTGCTGGCAGCCGAGGGCGGTCTGCAGGCGGCACTCCTAGCAGTTGGCGCAAAGAGCCCTCCACTTAAGGAAGGTCCGGGCAGCGCATCGTCATGTCCACCCCCCGGCCCTCTGTCCAGCCCAAGAGCTGAACAGCAACATTACTAACTCCCTGCACTCACGGGAATTACCTACCTGCTGGTGGAGACAGGTATTCAGTCATATATTTTTAAAGGTACAAAAAGTAAAATGAGAAATAAAAGTAAGCAAGGTCATGAATAAATAAGCAAGTTAAATGTACTGGTGCATGCCAAAAAAGAAAATAAGACTGACCGCCACTCAGCGTTCTACAGATCTATTAGTTCAACATAACAGCTGCGTGAAGTCTTTGCTAAGTCTAACACCTGGGCCCCCTCCGAGGCTGCATATTGACTGCCTTTTTTTTTGAAAGTGAGAATTTTTAATTACTTTATTAAATATTATATTCATTTAAAGGCTTTAACCATCCATAGTCATCATGATACAATATGTGTGAATGTAAAAATACCCATTGAATATGGGTTAAGAGGTGTAATTGTGTTTTGAAATATGCAACCTGAAATATGATTTGATCTAAAAACCCAACTGATGAGAAGTACAATAAAACAATATGTTTTAATAAGAGTCAAATACAGGTTCTGGAATGATTATTGCATGCATGTACCTAGTCATGTTAGACTTCTCCATCAGTGGTTTTTTTTTTTTAAGATTGTATTTATTTTTAAAGAGAAGGCAAGAAAGAGAGAGAGGAAAAGAAGCCTCGATATGTGAGATCAGTTGCTGTCTCCCGCACACCCCCAGCTGGGCCACAGCCCCAGCATGTGCCCTAATCGAGAACTGAGCTGGTGACCTTTCAGCTCGCAGGCCGGCGCTCAGCCCACTGAGTCACACCAGAGCGGGCTCTCCATCGGTTTTGACTGGAGTAATGTATCTTCCTTAACACCGATTCTGAACAGCTTCTGGTTTCAGTGTGGTTGAGCTCTGTTTATCTTCACCAAAGGAGCACCATCAGCCATACTGCTGCCTTTTTCTTCCATTTCTTGCTTTCCCTTTCCCAGTTCTACAGTAACCTCAGGACAACAGTCTGGTCCTTCCAGTCACTCTGCCATTTCCTTGCTGGTATCGCTCCCTTGCCTCAGTCAGCAGAGCTTGAGTTGCATGATGTTCTGGAACCAAGGGTTCAAGCTGATTGTTGATGTACTTTTCTTGGCTGCTGATCTTCTCCAGAGTCCTGCTAATTCCATTATGGAGTTTGTCCAAAAACCCGTTGGCCTCCTTTAGAGCAGATCCCATTCCACTCTTGGGCTGGTACATTTGGTCAATTGGGTTTCTCCAATCTTTATTGTCAGTCCTATTAGTGACTTCCAGTTGTGGTAGTCCACGTTCCACTTCTAGACTCCCTTCTGCAGCATCTGCTGTGGACTCGGAAACATCTTTCTGTTTGGCAGATCTGTTCATATCTAAGCAATAGGTCTGGACTTTTAAAATGTTGAGATAAAGGAAGTTCTCTTTGTTGTCTGCCTCTCCTTCCTCAAATTCTTCATCCACTTTATTTAACGTTAATTCTGCATCATCTTCTGGGACAGTTTATTCTTCTAATTTTTCTATTAGGTAGAATAGGTAGTAAACTAGGACAGGAAGGAGGAGGGAGACATGTGTCAGCTGTTGGCTCAGCAGGGCTGAGCCTGGCCCCATAAAATCACCGGGTGTTCCAAACATCACAGGCAGGGATAGCGCAGGACGAGGAGAATCCTTGAGACTTTGTGCTGGGGAAGGGAGCTTCTGAAGCAACTTCACTAAGACAAAGAACCCTTACTAGCTGAGAAAGAAAGCCCTTGTAGCTGTAC